TATATATATATATATATATATAAACTAAATTGGCTGTTTTCTATTTTAATATATTTGAAATGTAATTTATTTATGTGATGGTAAAGCTGAATACATGATCCTTCAGACATCATTCTAATATGCTGATTTGGAGAAACATTTCTTATCATCATAATAAGAAAAAAAATCTTTATAACATTATAAATGTCTTTACTGTCATTTTTGATAAATGTAATGTAATTTTAATTGCTGAATAGAAGTATTAATTTCCTTAAAAAAAGATCTTACTGAGCCCAAAATTTTGAATAGTAATGCATATGTTGACCACATTTTTTTTTTCTTCACAGGTTAGAAAAGACCATGTTCTCCTCTTTAGCTTTACCTACTATCATTACAATATAGCAAATATACAGTACACTCTTGTCCAGACTATATGAGACACTGTCACCTTCAATGGGAGTAACGAAATTCTGACCTTGTCTTAAATAGTTTGAAAAATAATTTTGAATGCATGTAGCACATACAAATTGGCTTACAATGCAAAATGTATTGCTTTACAGCTGGCTGAAATATTTGATACGATTTATAGTCCAAACAAAGTTGTGCGCATGAGTTTAATTATTCTTGTAAAACAATTTTGTGGGTGTTCCAATGAATTTGAAATGCACTTAAATCATACACAAATCAAACCTTTGTGTCAACAGAAACATATTTGCACACATGCTCACACACATACGCATGAAGCATCTCACTCCCGTACCCATAAACCCACAACTATGTCTCCACACACGCATTTTTAACACGCATTCAGTTCTGACAGAAAAGATTATTTTACATTGAACTACAAAATCAAATCCTGAACATTAATAGCAATAAAATATCTTACAATATTTAGAATTATTCCTGGAATTCTTTGCACTTTGAGAGACATGTCCATTATGTGTAAAATAATTTTTTATATTTCATTATGCAAGTATTGCTTTTTGTGGGTAAAGCAACAGTTACCATACAGTAATTTTTCAAGCAAAGCAGTTGTGTTGTGCCCGTCTGAAATCATGCATTCTTTATATTGGTGAAATTCACTCAAAGTCTTTCACTTAGGCTTAAACCTGCGCTTAAATCTCTGAGCTGAAAGAGAGGCGTAAAAGAGAAATCACAGCACGCCCCGTGTCCATTAACTAAATGTCAATGATCCTTTTAGCTTAAACATATTTGTATCATCTTTTTGTGCCGGTAATGTGAAATCAAACAAAAACCTGAAGACCCTGCCTAACACTACATCGATATGATTTCACAAAATGTGTCCTCTTTTCTGATTTTTTTTTTCTGTTTCTCTTTATTCCTCCTCCATCCCATTCCTGCTACAATGGCACCATCTACCTCTGACATCATCAATAGCGTTTGGTTTTCGTCTCCAGCATATCCACGTTCATCCTCTCTCTGTCGTTGTCCAGAGGCTGGTTCTGCGTGTGTTCCCACCGACGTATGGCACCATCCCACTGAGCGAACGTGACAAGAGAAGGAAAAAAGACAGACAATGAGTTCAAAGAAGTCTCATGGTCATTGGGCCCTATCATACATTCGGTGCAATGCGGCGCCAGGCGCGACGCAAGCATTTTTTGTTAGTTTCAGCCCGGCGCAGTTATCATTTTCACGTCTTGTGGCACGTTGTTTAAATAGCAAATGCATTTGTGTCCATTTGTGCACCTATGGGCGTGCTGGTCTGAAAAGGCGCAGTGTTGACGCGCTGCTATTTTGAGGCAACTGAAATAGACTGCGCCATTGACCAACTGAAACCTGGTCTAAAGTCAATGGCGCAATATTTTTTTTGTCATTTAAAGAGCATGTTAGTAATATGCACCTATAGGCGGGTGAACAATGCGCGTACACTGCTTATTACCATAGACTATTACACACATGGACACGCAGCAGCACACAAACATGGCAAAAATTAAAAATGAAAGGATTACATTTTAAAAGATTATTATTCTGCCCCGTAGATGGTTACTCTCTGGAGAAGCATTCAGTCTTTGCTCTTGCAAATTCCGCCATGTAAATAGTGAATCCACCAGGGCGCGAGCACAACTGGCTTTTAAAGGGAATGGTAGATGAGACTCTGATTGGTTTATTGCACGTTATGCCCAAAACACACCCATTACTCATTAAGAGAATAGGGACAACTCTTTTAGACTATGCGCCGGGCGTGCCGACCATTTTTCCCGTCGTTAAACTAGCAAAAGTGGATTCAGACACGCCCTAAGTGCACTTGCGCAGTGTGCTTTAGACCATGTGCTTAGATAATTAAAATAGGGCCCTTAATGTTAAAGTTATGTTTTTTAATTTCTAGGTCTTAGTCCTGTGTCAAATGTCCTTTTTAGTTTTCATCATATTAGTCAACCTACACTGTTTTAGTTGGCTAAAAGGCTGGGAATTTTAGTCTAGTTTTAGTCAATGAAATCTTATGAAACTTATATTTCAGTAATGCTGCATAATGATTAAACCAATAATCACAACCATTTTGCTCAAAATTATAATCATGATTTCATAATGTAGAGAGTATGTAAATGAACATACTCTACATTATGAAAACTAGTAAACTCAAAAGCCTCTCAGCCTAGAGCAATGAGCGCGCCTGGCAACCGAATGTTGCCGCAGGTGCAGTTCACAGAGCAGTATATATACCACTGGAGCACTTACTTTCAGTCAGTAGAGCTTTCGCTGTCAGAATAGGAAAAGCTGCCGATTTATTGGAGTTTGATAAAGGACAAATTGTGATGGCACGGCGCCTCGGAACTTCAATCTCAGAAACGGCGCACCTTGTGGGTTGTTCACATGGCGCAGTAGTGAGTATGTGTCAAAAGTGGTGCACGGATGGCCAAATGTTGAACTGTCGTCCAGCCGTGTGTCGTTCACAGCTCATAGATGCCAGAGGGGAGCAGAGACTGTCATGCATTGTTCACAGTGACCGCAAGGCCACAGTGCGACAAATCAGCAGCAGATACAACAGTGGTGAGCAGGGCAATGTGTCACAGCACACTGTTCATCGCAGCCTTCTGCGTACGGGCCTGCATAGCCGACGACCCAGCCGGGACCCCATGCAAACTGCATGTCATCGCCAACAACGCATGAAATGGGCCCAAGATCATCGAGTTGGACCATTGATTATTGGAAGAAAGTGGCCTGGTCTCGAATCAAAAATTGATGGCCAAGCGCAGAAACGCTGATTACCAACAGAGGCTATGGCACCTGGATGCACTGTTGGGCGGACACAGGCCGTTGGCAGCGGTGTTATGCTGTGGGCGATGTTTTCTTGGGACACTTTAGGCCCCATTATCCCAATAGCACAATCCCTGACAGTTGTCAGGTACCTGAACATCGTTACGGACCAAGTGCACCCATTCATGGCAACTGTGTTCCTTGTCAGTGATGGACATTATCAACAGAATAATGTGCCATGCCACACTGCCAGAATCATCAAGGAGTGGTTCAAGGAACAAAATGGTGAATTTCCTTTAATGCCTTGGCCTCCAAATTCAACTTGCATGAAACCAACCAAAAAGCGGGTTTGCGCTACATCAGCACCACTCCACATTGTACAGGAACTGGAGGACCTGCTATTGACATTATGGTACCAGATACCCCAGGAGACCTATCGGCACCTTGTCGAATCAATGCCTCACTATGTGGCTGCTGTTTTGTGGGCTAAAGGAGGTTCTACAGGTTATTTGATAGGTGGCCATAATGTAATGGCTCATCGGTGTATATCTCTATTATGTCATATATATTATGGAGATGGCTAAACTCCAACTTATATGTTTGCCAGTGTTTTCAGATTATCAGTAAACAGAGGAAAGAAAATGTGTCCTTCTAAGAGAAAAGCTCTGATTGGTGGCTCTTGGGTACCACAAGCATGAAAACTGCTGGAGGCCTATATTTTTTCTCCTATTTTTTGTTTAAGAAAATATAGAGAGATTGTAAATATAAGTTTTTATATATATATATATACAAACAATTCTGTGTTTTTCTGTCAATATGGGGTGCTGTGTGTACATTAATGAGGAAAAAAAATTAACTTAAATGATTTTAGCAAATGGCTGCAATATAACAAAGAGTGAAAAATTTAAGGGGGTCTGAATACTTTCCGTACCCACTGTATATATCCCGTCTTTTTGGTCAATGCGCCTGTAGATACATTAACTGTTTAATGATGTTGTGTCTTCTTGTCAACAGATATTTTTCATCAGTTTTCATTAACCAAATAAACTCTAGTATTAAACAATGGTTTTACTTACAGAGCTGCTGACCA